CGAAATTATACAGCAAGGAACTCGGCGAGAAAGAGATTCCCTCGCTCTGCATCGCGTTCTGCAAGTGCTGGGTGGATTTAAGAGGAATTGGTGTGTTTGAAGGTTGTTCTGAACACCACCTTGTTAAATTGTAGAATAACTTAAATTACAGCTATATATAACGCTGGCCTTGTAATCCTGGGGGTCTCGGGTTCGATTCCCGGCGGTGCCCGAATTTATAACTTGTGTTGGGCAAGGCCGTGGTCTAGGCAACACGGAGTTTTCCTCCGTGGCATCCCAACAATTACTCCATTCACACACAGAAGAAGGCAATGGTAAACCACTTCTGCATCATCTGCCAAGAACGTATATGAATAGGTCCCAGTCCGAGAAAAGGATGGAAGGATCCTGTTCATATGGACCTGTCATCAGACAGAACACTAAATAAATAATATAATCAGTGGTACGCATTAAATGTGTTTGAATCTATAATATTATTTCAAGCCTTTAGAGAATAGATAATTTAAGTAAATTAAAATATATTTAAACGAAGTCTAGTTTGTCCATGCAAACATCTGGCTGATGCATTTGGTATTCGGAATGGTCTGAAACGAGGAGATGCGTTATCGCCATTGGTAACTTACGTCGGAAAAAAAACTACAGAAAAGTCGGTAATAAATATGATTTGGTAAGAATTATCTATTTATTTAAATGAATAGATAGTAAAAATTAGTATAATTGCAGTTCCGACTGAGCTAATTGTTATGTCTGAGGAGGATATGTGGACCTAAGACGAATGGATAAAGTTGCGTATTGAGGAGAATCATAATTTGAAAGCAAATTAATGAGGTGGATAAGATATGTGGGGCACGTGGAGCACATGGAGGTGGTGAGAAATGACTACAATATTTTTGGTTGGTGATTGTAATGGAAAGAATCTACTCGGAATAGCTGGAAGTAGATATGAAGATAATATTAAAATTAATCTCAAGGAAATAGTTTTGGAGAACCCGGACTGAATATATCTGTCTCAGAACAGAGACAGAGTGACAGGTGGCAGGCTCTTGTGAACACGGTAATGAACATCTGCTTCCATAAATGGCGGAGAATTTATTGACTATCTGGGCGTGCCATCAGCTTGTCGAAAAAGACCATGGTTTATGAAGTTTTGGAGTTAGTTTAATCCTGACTAGCAATTTAACGTCGGGTGGGGTGTGTGATAGAATTTTAGCGAAACGTATGAGAATAGGATTTGAGAACGATGTGATTAGTCAAAGTTTGTAATAACGGAAACCGAAGATAAGCCACTCTGCATACAGTGAATTTTGCGACCACATGGGACTGGTCTGTTCTGTCAAATTATGGTGCCCATGGTAACTCCATCTTTTCGCATGTGTATGATTGATTACGATGATTACAGTAAAAATTTAGCTACACATGAAGAAAATATTTCGTTATAACATCATGTGCTTACTTTTCATACGTACGGTGAGTTGGCAGAAGTGATCTGATCTGTTATCACTTCTCCATAGAGTTAACTTAATGAACGAACACATTGCAAAAAAAAAGATTTATAAAAAAAGCAAATTCGAAATGGCACTATTCAGTTTTAAATACAATTTTAATGTACTGTGCATGTTTGAAATATGTTAAAGCTTTAATTATGGGGTGAGTATAACATTTATTTACTGAATTTTTTCTCGATTAAGAAGAAATTATTGCAAGGCTGGAAAGAGGTCAGCGGCTATATGAAAATATGTGAATTTTAATTTTTCAATACAGAAGGTTCTGTTCATTAAATTAAGAGAAAGTTTCAGAACCATTTTCTTTTCTTAAGACCTCTTCAGGACTTAAATATTAATTATAGAGTATTTGTGTATTATATAAATGGTAATATAGTTTTATATGCAGAATGTAACCGAACGTTGAGGTTGAGTGGTTTTAAACGTTCTCTTCAGGAAAATGCCACGGCCGATTCCATCTACATCCATTTCAATTTATTATGCACTATCTTCTTCTCATTTTACGTTATATGGTATAAGCTATTGGATGCGTCTTTAAATAAACTATATAAAATATAAAATTAAAGCATGGACCAGAAGTTCTTGAACAAATTGAAGACGCTATTAAAAAGTTACTATGGATGGAAACAAATGTGACTTAATTTGTTACATAGGCAGATATGTAAAGTGTGTGCATCTAATAACACAAATAAAATGAGTTCGCGTTTACCGTTCGTTTTTTATTAAAACTTTATTTTGTTCAAGGACTCTGACTCATTATGTATTTTTATGTGTGTATATAGCTCTAAAGGAAGAAAGTGGAATGAGATCATGATAAAATCCAGAATATAATACGAATAAATTGCCTGGGCTAACCTGCAAACGAAACTAAGAACGAAATAAAGTTCTTGAAGGATCCACCAAAAAAATATGTAACAGAAAAAAGTTTAACAGCGGGAAATATCTGTGTAAAAAAAGTTCGGAAACTTTTGAGGGGCACGTGACTACAAAGAAAAAAGATAAAAACCGACCGAAGGCTCGCGAGGTGCGCCATGTCAGATAAAAAGACGGAGATTGGCACATGATAGAAGTTGGCGCTGGTGTCGTACAGACAGTTGTGCTGGGCGGGATGCAGTGAAATCGGGGATGAAGAATAGAATGGAGGAAAATGGAAGAAAATAAAGAGCAAAAGGGGAAAGCAGAATAAAGAAAGGAACGAAGAAAATAAAAGGAAGAGATAAGGAAAAAGAAAGTTATTACCAAAAGTGTTTGTATTTTGTGAAAATAAAATCAGTACATGACATAAAAGAAAGACAAGAATAGGTAACAAGCAGAGGAGGAAGATAAACTTTGAGAAGAAATAATGACGGAGGCTGGAAGGATAAGGAGAGAAGTTTAGAAACGAAAGATTCTTTTGATATAAGAATAATGACCTAAGAATAGGTGAAGGGACATGCGTAAATAAAGAAATAGAACTGGAGAAACAAAGAGAACATACGATACTTATAATGACTGAGCAGAATTGAAGAGAGGAAAAAGAAATGGCAAAGAGAAAAGAAGAGAAGGAAATATATGATGAAGTGAAGAACCATGTTCTTGTGTGTTACGTTCAACGCGATCATTAATCAAACTGTTCACAAGTTTAATTTTTGTTGCCGTAGCAAAAACAACATTGGAAACAGTTGACAGAACAAGGAGTGACAAATGAATTTAGAAGAAAAAGTTGTAGGCCTTACGTGAAGAACGGGGTTCACGAACGGTACCTTTCTCTTCGCGAGCTTTGAAACAGTGGTGATTACTACGCCATTTTACGTCTTGAGAATCAGTAACGGTCAGCCACTGGTCTCAGATCCTGAGTCCGATGAATCAGTTACCCATCATAACACTCTTAACTCTTTAATGTCCAGAGGCAGTAATGACCCACGTGCTTCAACAGTTAATGACTGAATTTTGATTTATGTGTTCCATGTGAGCCTCACAGTAAACAGCAATAATATCTTTAAACAGCATCAACCAGTTAATTTTTATAATGGTGAATGTTTTGTTTTCTTTGTGGTTCGGGCTAAATTCTTAAATATTATTTATACGAGCTTCGGCTTCAAAGAGTAAATATTATCTTACAGTCTACGCATAGATTTTCCAAATCGTGTCTTTTCCTCAGGATTTACGATATAAATGTTTTACGCTTTTCTCATCACCCTTTCGAGCTTCATGTCCTTCCAATCACATTCTCCTAATTATTGTCACTAATAACGTTTAGTGATAGTAAAATTTATGTATGTCCTCACTATATGATGTTTCTCCAGCCTTAAATTTGCCTCAGGGATTCGGTACAAACTGTATTGTCATCAGCAAAAATCCACAAAATTAAGCATTTAGGATTACATCCTATAATTTTTATGTATACAATAATGGCTGTGCCACAGATCTTATTTTTTTAATTTAACAACGCTTTTGCAACTGCATGAGTTAAACAACGCCGAATGGAAAGGTTACAGTTATGACAAATTTTCAATGTTGAATTAACATGTCGCTTTCTGTTTTAAGATACTTTGGGATATTTTCCTGCCGAGAACACGTCTGTACTGTAGTAACTCTCTGGGTCTGCATTCAGTGTGTACTCGGAACCAGTCTGGGCTAAGCTGCCGGCTATAGGACTAATCGCTGACATTTTACGTTTTCTTTGCAATCAAATATCGGGGCAATACTTCATCATTCCAAATACGTACCTTACCTAATTTACGAAGTTGTCCATCTGCGGTTTGACGCCGTTTTAGACTCGTAGATAGATAAAGACGTCTCGGAGAAACACATTGTTTCCATATTAAACCTGAATTCGGTGACCATGTTTCTCCGAAACGTGAGTACCTACGACCTAGGCTACACAGCACAACATAGTCCTCACCACCGTAAGAACCTAAAATCTCAGTACTTATTTACCAGTTATAGCCAACTTGGCAGAGGTCGCGCGAGAAGTGCTGTCACTTGCGCAAAGGACAGGTTTTGGTCGTATGAGATGGAC